GACCAATGACTTCCTCGTTAATAAAGCCGCGAGACAATAGCGTCGGCCGTGTTATCGCGTTCCCCCGTCGGCGCCTCCAACGGCGGATTTCGTTCTCGTGCGGTTATAGTTTTTTATGACGACACAGCCGTGGCAGAGATGCGGTGCCCTCAGAGTTTTTAATCCCCTCACTCAAAAAAAAATGTATTCTATTTGTAAAGTGATTTTTCCCAAGATCTCATATTCGAAGTGAAGCCTTTTACAGCGAAAAAGAATTTCCCTTTCGATAAAGCGATTAAAGTGAAGCATTCATCTAAAATTTATCAGATATTATTCTAACTGTTTGTATTAATTAATTTTCCTCTTATATCAAGAAGAACGCTTGTCGGCGTTTTTCCCCTTCCATCTACTCACACAGAGACATTCTCTCTCTCTCTCTCTCTCTCTCTCTCTCTCTCTCTCTCTCTCTCTCTCTCTCTCTGTTTATGTGACGATCGTCGCCGAATTTGTTTTATGGACAACGTATGGAGCAAGGGAGAAAAGAAGAGAGATCGTTATTCAGCTTATGTTATTTTTCTCAGCTGTCGTCATGAACGAAGTTGAAGAATTTTTAGAGAAAATTAACTTAGAGACATACCGGCCGATATTTCAGCGTAAATACATACATATATCCATTTATCGTCTCGCGTTGCACACTACATTAAATGCCATTTAGAGTATTTTAAAATTACAAATTTATGTTTTTTCTACTTTTTTAGCAAAAAGTCAAGAAAAATTTAACTAGATACTTTTTCGGACAGTTTCATAATAATTTTCTCTCCATTCCCTACAAAGGAAGATCAATAAGAAATATATAACCAGTAATAAATAATAATAATAAATAATAATCCTCTTAAAAAAAGATTAAATAATCTGTGTACAAGAGGAAATTTATATTGAAATCAATAAGATTTGCATTATACATATAACATATAATTTCTCTAATTTTAAGAATAATGTAATATTTATAATGATTTTCTCTTAATTTTAGAGGAATCCTCTTGAAGCCATATATAAGAGTAAAATCCTCTGCAAAATTTAAGTGATTCCGCTTATTCTGATATTACTTTTTTTGGGGTGTTTTAAATATCCCGATGAAATTTCCACCGAGAACTGTTTGCGAAATATCGCTCGGCTGGTCGGCGAATCGCGCCGAAGACGCACGCGGCGAACGACGTCGGACTTCGCGAATAGGATTTGAAGTTGGAAAAACTCTTTAAGCTCCCCCTCCCCCCTCTCTCTTTCTCACTCTTTCTCACTGCTCAGGTAATAGACTTAGAACTCGGAATGGTAGAGGCGATGTGCTCCAGGACTCACGGCGCGAAACATGAGTAAGACGAAACCCAAGAGCGGAATATCTCGCGGTAAAGGCGGAAGTCACCGCAATTTAAGCGGGCTTACGTCGCTCGCGATGGTGCTACGTGCGAGTCGCGTCGTCTCACGCGTGCTTATTGTTCCGCGGGATGCGTTATTTCCCGTGGGATAGTGAGAACGCGTTCCCGTTCCGGGGGAAATTTTCGAAAAGTGCTCGCGCCGCTCGCGCAGTGCGACGGTTCCGCGTCCGGTTCGCGATCGAATTTCCGCGCGTTTTTCCGCCGCGCTCCAACGCTCGCCCGCCCGCGAAAGCAAGCTTGAGTTATTAACGTAATTGACCTCTCGCCGCGGTCTACGCGCGTTCAATTTAATACATAACGCCATCCCGGAAGGAAATTGCGCGTGTGTGCGATACGGTAAAATTATCGGTATTCCCGTTAATATACGCGGTATGACAGGAATCCCGAGTAAAAAAATTAATAGGGCTCTGGTAAGGGCCCAATTATTTTTCTCTAACATTAATCGGGCCCTAATTGGGATAGAAGGACAAGGGTCCTACAAGATGTGTAACAAATAGTTTAACGGATCCTTATAAGGCAGTATTAATAGGACCTTATAAGGAAATATTTTTATCATTGCTTGAGTAAAAATATTCGTTCTTTTCATGCCAAAAAATTTAGACAATAATTTCTTTGTTTCTTTATAATTTTGTTAGTATACAAAAAGAATTTTTTTATTTTCAAAATATACCATATTTTACAATAAAATATAGCATTCTTTAGACATAAAAATCCTGCAATTGTTTTTATTAGAGTTTGCTGCATTTCAAAACGAAGGCAATGCTAGAAGAATCCTTGGAAGAGACTAATGAATATGGCAACCAATGAAACTAATAAAATTTGTTTTTAATTGCGGTAGAATTCAAAAATATTTAAAAGAACCAGATAGAGCGTACTTATTAAAACAATACTAAACTATGACAATTTTATTACACGCTTCAGATCTTATTAATTTTTTATAACAAAACTTGATTTTATATAAAAGCATCCTTATCTAAAGCATCCTTGAAAGATCCTTTCAAGGCCCAGTTTTCCATGTTAAAGCATGTTATTTCATAAAATCCAAGGCATCCCTAAAAATCTTTCTCAGCTTTCCCTATCAAAACCTTATTTATTAAATCTAAGGCATCCCTAAGAGATCCTTCTAAGGCCCTTATCAGTTTTCCTTATCAAAGCCTAAGGTATCCTTAAAGAATCCATCTCAGGGCCTGATGTGATAATAATGAAGCATCCCTTTTTAGGGCATCTTACTTTCAGCCTTATCAGGGCCTTATGCTTCATGAGGACGACTCTAACAACTTTTTGCTCGGGATATTTACGCGATTCTTTTAGAGGAAAAAAGAAGAATTTCAATTCTTCGGAAAGGGCCGCGAAGGGCTTCCATCGCGCGCGCAACCCTTTCGCGAAAGAGACGCAGCGTCGGCGTCGTCGAATGTTCCTCTATTCTCATTGATTCCATCAGTGCCAGGAAGTAGTCGGTGCCGGCTTATTACATACCGTAAAGCGTAATTGCCCACTTAACTATTTTAACGGCGTTCGCTTCCCGCGCCGCGCCGCGACGCGCCCGTGAACAAAGGCTCCAGTTTCAACCTTAATTAAGCAAAACGCGGCGTATGTGCGTGAAAAATGCATTGCGCTCTGATCTCAGCGCGATTGCGAGACGCGATCCGCGGAGCGCGCTAACGGAGAACGCATTCGAAAAGATACCGGTGGCCCGTCGCGTTTCACGCCGCACATACGTTACTTTCGCTCGGTTTGGCAAAGCCGAGCAATCAGACTTACGGAAAACGTCGCGAGAGATAAGTTCGAGCTCAGTTGTTTGGAGGCGAGAGATGAAATTTGAAATTTCATCCGTGCTAAACAATATGTATTAAACCGTGAAGAGCGATGCTTTTAATTGCAAAAGGCAAGAGGCCCTACATTAATTATAATTCACCGGCAAACACGGTGCCTCCGTGAGGAGCAATTTTTCCAGCGTTTTCCGCGCTACCTCGCGGTAAAATCGCGCTTAGTTATTAATGAACGACTCGTCGCGGCGTATAAGATAAACGTCCCAATGGCCGGACACGTCCGAGTATCTGAACATTTTGAAAGAAAGAACATTTATTATTTATTTTAACAATAATGAATGAAAGTAATAATTATTGTAAAAAAGAAACTCCAATATTTGACGATTAGTTAGACAAAAATATACCCAATTTGATACCTTTGTATTAAAATAAAAATTAATCAAGTATGCACCTAGGCTTTGGCAAAATAATGGTCAATCGTTAATAAATTCATTAAGAGATAGCATCTATATTTATATTATCTCCCGTTAGCGCATACTAATTTTTTAATTGTGGTCAGACACTGGAACGAATTATATCCGAACATTGGGCCAATTGTAACCAATTTCGACTGTCCGGTCATTGATACATTAATGCGCTTTATTACTTGTCTAAATATTTCATTAATAATATATATATATATATATATATTAGTTTAAATAATTTTTCTTTACTTAAGGGAACTTTAAGTTTTCCAATAAATGCAAATATTTATATCAAAAGTATTCTTAATATTACATATTGTATTTTTTGTGACGACCTACGCTTCAACGGTTACTGGAACATTTACCTTATACACGCGCGTAGTAAGACTTAATTAATTAATTCGGAGTAATCCAATCTCAGAGATACATTGCGTAAACGCGATACGATGAAGCGATCGATATTGAGCTATTTCGTTCATCCGTCGTCCATCCCAATTTCTTCCTGCAAAGAGAAGCAAATTCGCGGCTCCCTCGACGAGGAGGCGGCCGAGTCTCTCGCGAGAGAGATCCGTCGTCCTTTCGCGAGCATGTAAAAAGATGCGCCCGCGAAAGCGCACGAAAAGTCACGAGCCCGGAGACGCGAGACGAAGACTCGCGGGAGGACGCGAAGTTCGCGAATGATGCTGCAAGTATGTGTGTGTGAGAAATCATGAGTGGAGAGTGCAGTGACAAACGCGGCGCGCGGAGGTGGAGGGGAGAGACGCGGCAGGACGTGGAGCGAGCCGGTGCTCGCGCCGGGAGGGGGAAGAGAGGAAGAGCGAGAAAGAGGAGGAGAGAGAAAGAGTGGACGAGCGGCACGGCGAGAACAGGTGGGAAAAGGACAGTGGGAGACGAGGAACGCGAGTTCGAGGCAGCCTCGATCGGGTCGCTCGACTCGGAGCTCAGTATGCCGCGCAGCGCGCAGGCTCGCGTACATATATACTGTTCTTCTTTCCCCGTTTTCCTTCTTTCTTCCTTCTGTCCGTCGCGTCTACCCCTTTCTCTTTGTCGCTCTCTCTCTCCCTCTCTCTCCCTTTTTCTCTCACACTCTCTCCCTGTTCTCTCCTGCTCCCTCTTGGCCCTTTTCCTCTTCCCTTCTCTCTCTCTCCCTCTCTCTCACTCTCTCTTTCTCCCTCACGCTCGCTCGCCATCACGTTCCCGCCGGGCGCGCGCACCGTCGTCGTTTGCACGCACACTCCGTATTCTTCGCGACGTACGCGCGTAACGACGGGCCGCGTACGTGCGTGCGTGCGTGCGTGAGAGCGCGCGCGCGCGCGCGCGCGCGCACGCCCGCGCGTGCGTGTGTGGGTCGGTCTGTTGCATCGTCGCGTCGCGTCGCGTCGTCGTCGGGACAGCGCGCAGGTACAAACAGACGCATTCCGCGAACTGCGTTCTTTCTAATATTCCTGACCGCCTCCGCGCGCGCGCGCGCGCGCGTACTGCTCACCTGCTGTCCACTACCTGCGAGTTTTCCAGGTCGCCTCGAGCGCGACGCGAGCGCGCGCGCACGCGTGTGTGAGCGTCCCCGTGAGTGTGTGTGGTTTCTCTTTTTTTATGCATGACTGCTCGCGCGCACAGGGGCGTCAGGCAGCGTCGAACAACGCAGCAGCAGCAGCAGCAGCAGCAACAGTGGACGCGGACGACAGGTACGGACACACGGAGGACACCGCATCGCCGCTGTCGTCGTCGTCGTCGTCATCATCGTCGGCCGCCGCGTCGACTAACGGAGTGGTCGCGCGCGTCCAGCGAGACGTCTAGTACGACGTGCGCGCCTCCACGGAGAGAGAGAGAGAGAGAGAGAGAGAGAGAGAGCGCGCGCGCCAAAAAGTAGTCCCCCGCGAGACGCACGTCCGCGTGTCTTTCCGAACGCGGGTTTTTTCGAACGAGTGCGTGGGACGCGAGTCGCGGCTGAGGTATATCGCGGCGCGAAGGTGGCGGCAGTGGCGGCGACAATATTCGCGGGCGATTCAAGTCGCGCGCGACGACCCATATACACGGTGACACGCTGACACGGGCGAAAGTGAGCGGATCGGCGCGGCGGAGCCGGGGGCAGGGGAGGATCGGAGGTACCGGGAAAAAGAGGGAGAGAGCCGGTTACGAGAACGATACGCTGCCGCGGAAAAGAGCGGGAAAATTGAGCCGCGCGTTTCCGTCCCGGCGCGTCTTACGACGCGTGAGAGAAGCGTCGTAGAAAAATGCCGCGGCAGTGAGCGAGGCGAACGGGCGAGCGAGCGAGCGAGCGAGTGGAGTGCACGGAGTGTAGTCGCGGAACGTTGCGAAACTCCCGGTCGGGTCTGGCGCTGAGACGTGGCACGAAATGAAGCGAGCGTATCCGCGCGCGATCGATAACTATAGCGGCAGTATAGTCGACTCGGTAAATAGCGAGCGGCCCGTCGGGCTACCAAGCAATCCAACCTAACGGACGCGTGACCTCCAGGAGCGGCGGATAGGTAGGTGTAGGTAGGCAGCCGGGCTCGCCATCGAAGCCGACTCGTTCGACATCGACGAGCACGAGCACGATCACGCCGACGACGACGACGACGACGATGTAGAGAGAAAGTCGCGCGGCGTTTTTGTGCGCGAGACGGAGAAAAGGAGAGTTCGCGAGCGACGGAGAGCCGAGAGACGCGGATAGAAAGACGGAGGAGGAGGAGAAGGAGGAAACGTGCGTACGAGAGTGCGACGGCCAGCAGCGCGAGTGGAAAGCGATTTTCCATGACCGCGTGGACAATAGAGCGGCGATTCCGGTGAGCGTGGCTTGGATCGATCGGTCGGACCAATGATCGATCTAGCGCGCATCGCGCACCGGTGTAACCGTCCGTCTGTCTACCCGTCCCTTTTTATCTGACGAGACGAGCCCTAGGAGCGAGCGAGACCGAAGACGAAACGTTCGGAGCGGAACGCAGACGGAAAGGATAAAGAGCGAAAGGGAGAGACAAACGGAAGAAGGCTGAAAGGAGGAAGAGCGAAAGGAAAAAAACAAGAGTCAAGAGAAGCAGGAGAGGGAGAGAGAGAGAGAGAGAGAGAGAGGGGGGAGGAAGAAAGAGAGAGAGGAGAGAAAGAGAGAAAGAGAAGATACCTTATTTTTAGCAGCGGCGTTTTACGCACCACAAAAACCGGTTCCCGGAGAACACGCCGCTGGAGTACGGAGGGAGCCGATAGCCTCCGCGAGAAAAAGGTTTTCGAAGGAGGAAGATATAATACGTATACAGATAATAAAAGCGTTCGTCCTTGTCGCGGTGGAGGCGGAGGTAGCCGCGTGGAGGAGAGAGCGGGGGAGAAGGAAGATAAATTTATATTTACCGCACTGGGTGCGCGAAAATCTTACTCGAGCGCGGCTGTGGGGAATTGGATGAAACGAAAAGTGAGCGCCCAATAAGGAGCATCGACGAGGTTCATCACACATGCATGCACACGCACACACGCAGGTGGTGCAGGTGAGGAGGAGGAAGAGGGACGGGAAAGAGGAAACAGTGACACGGAACGTGGAATCCACCTAACCCGATACGCGCTTCTCCTCCACCCCGCCGCATCTTGTCTGCTTGTCCCTACTCCTCTCCCCCCCCCCTCGTCCGTCGTCGGTCGCAACCGCCACTCGCGCACCTTTTCGCTCTCTCTCTCTCTCTCTCTTTCTCGAGGCTCGCTCGGCTATCGATTGCACGCGTGTATACGCGACAACGCGGCCACGAGATTCGATTATCGACCGCGACGACGACGACGACGACGACGACGACGACGGCGGCGGCGGCGGCGGTGACGGCGAAGACGGCACGCCACGTGACTTTGGAATCCAAAGGAGCGTCCTGACACCAGCTGGTACCATCAAAACCGCACCGGGTTTCCGGTCAGAGTCAAGGACACGCGCGCGACGAGTCAAAGCTCGCGGCGATCGAGCCATCGGGAGCTTTCGCGCTTTGACGATCGGCCGTTCTCCGAGTACCGAGATGCGTTCGCACCATGCTAGTCTGTGATCATCCGACGAGGGAAGTTGCAGGAAGGTATTGAGAGCCAGGCGACAGCGGAGCACTTGCTTCCCTACTCGACGGAGCGATCGAGCCGGCTTGAGTCTTGATCGACACCCGACGGTAACCGCGTTATCGAGCCGCGCCGATGCTCGGAGCGCGTCATTTCCGGTCACACCGTACACGCCGCAGTGGTGAAATTGAATCGACGCGCGACAGATTGATCCCCGAATCGCTCATCGGCCTACGCGCAGTCTCCGTGGATCTCCGTCCACCAATCGTCAAGTGGACCCGAAGCGTCTGGAGACTCGTCGTCGCTCGACGACGACGACGACGACGACGACGACGTCTCGTCGCTGTTATCGAAGCGGATCGTCCTGCAGCGGCCGTCGCCGCTGCGACTTATCGATCCGCGATCTACGAGGACGAGCGAGTACCGTTGAGAAAGCTCGCGCCGGCCGATTGCAGTCGGCTCGCGGCGACCGATGCGCGCGAGGCCGACGGCGGCCCGGGGAGCTGCTGGGACACGAACGGCATGAAGAATGGCAACCGATCCGAGCGTTCGTCAGGGCGTGAGGGCGGTCGCGACCACGACTACCGACCCGCAGCGCAACGAGAAACGCGCCCTCGCGGCGCGGGGCGCCGCTGGCGCGCTCGCCCTGAGCGTCCTGGCTCTGGTGGTGCAGGCGGCGGCGACCGCGACTCCCACCTGGGGATACTACAGCAATGATCATAACGGTGAGTCAGTCCTACGTGATCGCTTTTATTAATTAAGGAGTCGCCTCGCCTCTCTCTCTCTCTCTCTCTCTCTCTCTCTCTCTCTCTCTCTCTCTCTCTCTCTCTCTCTCTCTCTCTCTCTCTCTCTCTCTCTCTCTCTCTCTCTCTCTCTCTGTCGCTCCGTGAGGCAACGAGCGAGCGAGCGCGCGCCGTGACTCATTTCGCGGCTATGTCACGGCTTCTGCATTTTTTCTTCGGCCGATCAGCGCGCAGTCGTCGGCTTGTCTTCGCACGCATGCACGCACTTGGCTCGCTCGCCGCGCACAAGCGCGAGTGTCTGCCGAAGTTGGCGCTGAAGGAGAGAGAGAGAGAGAGAGAAGTGCCGTGAAACTGTAGAGAAGCGTGTTAACCCTTAAGGGCGAAGCCATCGGCGAAATTTCATTCCGTGCGGAATTCTGATCTTATTAACTCTTTGCACTCTAGAGGCGACTCTCAGCCGCCACTGGGTTTTATGTCAGCTGTAAGAATTCGTCAAATATTCGCAAGATCGTCGAGAGTTGCCTCTCGAGTGCAAAGGGTTCAATTCTAGCCCTTTGCCCTCGACGGCTTTTTCGCTAGGGCGAACTAGCAACTTTCGACGATTTGGCAAATATTTGACAAATTTCTTATTGACTGACACACTGTTTTTATAAATATTCGCACCTTCAACAGTGACAAAATTATGATTAAACGGATCAATTATCGCTATATACTTTGTCATAAGCGTAACAAGAGAGAGGTTGCTACGGGGTGATATTTGAGGATGGTAGCTTTCGAAGGTTAAGCGCGATCTCTCGGTGGAAAATAATTGTAGGATAATTGTCTCGGTAACAATGTATCTCTGAGGTCGGATTACCGCGAATTAATTAATTAAATTGTATTACGTGCGTGTATAAGGTAAATGTCCCAGTGTAATAACCGGACGTTCAAGCGTAGGCCGTCACAAAAAATGCAATATATAATATTAAGAATAGATTTGATATAAATATTTGCATTTATTCGAAAACTTAAAGTTCCCTTAAGTGGAGAAAAATTATTTAAACCAACGTATATATCTATTATTAATGAAATATTTACACTAGTAATGAAGCGCATTAATGTATCAATGACCGGACAGTCAAAATATGGCTCAATGTTCGGATATAATTTGTTTCAGTGTCTGACCACAATTAGAAAATTAGTATGTGCTAACGGGAAATAATATAAATATAGATGCTATCTCTTAATGAATTTATTAACGATTGACCATTATTTTGCCAAACCACAGATGCATACTTACTTGATTAATTTTTTATTTTAATACAAAGGTATCAAATTGGATATATTTTTGTCCAACTAATCGTCAAATATTGGAATTCTTTCTTACAATAATTATTACCTTCGTTCATTATTGTTAAAATAAATAGCAAATTTCTCTTTCAAAGTGTTCGGATACTGGGACGTGATCGGCCATTGGGCCGTTTACCTTATACCCGATTTATTTGCGCGATTAGTTGTGCCTCGTCGTGGTCAGCTTAGGTGACCGATTTCGAGATATCTGACGCTTCACCTTTATTGCAATTGCTCCAGCGGCGATAGTTCTACTCGCAGAGAAGCGCGCCGGTGAGAGGAAACAATTGCACGACCGGCGTAATTTATTAAACACTAGCGATGTTTTTTCTTTTCTTTAGTATCATTTGCTCGACTCTAGCATTAGGTGGTGCAGACTCGAGTCTGTTTGATCGATTAGTATGTACGTCGCGGGTGTTCCCTGAACTTGGGGGAAAGGGAGATATCGGCGAGCTCTGAAGCTTTACATTTATTTTGATTTACGCGTTTCTACTACTTCTGATAACGCGGGGATACGGGCATCGCTGATCACTGTTATCGCGCTCTGACTCGTTGATCGTTAACGACACCTGCACGTGACAAATTCGAGAAATATGTCCCACGAGACGCTGGATTTTTCCAAAGTAAAGTAGAATACCGGCTGTAACGTGAGCGGATGAGAAAAATTGGATTAACGTTGCGCGACGTGAGAACGCTGATAAAGCTGATGTACCGCCGGCGAGACGGCCGGCGTTTCCACTGCGTTTCTTCTCTCGGCGCGTAAAGCGGAGTGTTACGGCTTCCGTAAGAAAAAGAAATATCAAAAGAATGAATGCACACACACGCGCGCGCGCGCGCGCGCGAGGAACACGTCGCCTTGCGCAACAAGTAATAGGAAATGTCACGCGCGCGCACGTTCAGGTATCTCAGGATGATCGATAGCTGAGAGTCCCTCCTCGCTGGTGCACTGATTAGCTATGCGGGTCTTTACACGCGTAACGGGATCGCCGAGGGACACACACACCGTATCACGTGCGCCACACACAGCCCGGGACTGTATTTTCGTGCGTTGATAAATGAACAAACGGATATTAAATCCAGAGATAACAATCTGCCTGATGAATTAGACGGGGCGGGTTGACATCGCGCGTGTGTCATTACGAGAGGCAATCATGCGAATGAAACGCGAGTCTTATTATTAACCCTTCGAGCAACATTTCCACATTTCCTTCCACCGACTCGATAATTATAAACGTAATTTTTCATGAAAAATTTACGACTGCGTTTTAGCTGAGAAGAGGAAACATTAACGCTTATATCATTTATGTAGAAATTTATTACTGAAATTTATAAAATTTTTACCTTATAATCTTTTCAAGCGCGATCCCGTTGTCGCCGCCGCCGCATTTTATTTTATTGATCTTTTGCTCTTTGATATTTAAATTGTTTAATAATTATTATCGCGCAAATTATTAGGTGTTCTAGTTAGAGAGATATTTTAAAAATTAGTACGCCATTTTAAAGCTTGAACATTTCTACAAATACGTAATTTGACACATGGCATGTGCATTCGTCAACATGACCACACATTTTTTTGTGTGATCGAAAATGGAACGTAGTAAAGAGCATTTTCGACATTTAGTGCTTTATTTCGATTCGAAGAAAACGGCTCTCTGCTGAAGCCCACCGATTCATCTCAGAAACTTATTCTGACTTTTCTTCATCGGTTAAAACATACGAATATTGATATCGGCGATTTCGGCGTGGTGATTTCGATCTGAAAGACAAAGAATGTTCGGATCAACCAAAAAGTTTAAAGATGCCGAATTGCAGGCATTATTGGATATAAAAACTCAGCTCAAACGCTTCAAGAACTAGCTGAAGCATTAAATGTTGGTAGATCAACCGTTTCAGATCGTTTACACGCAATGGAGAAGATTCAAAAAGAAGGCAAATGGATTCCACATGCATCGTCTGAATTGGCTATTCAAAATCGTTTAACCATTTGCACTTCATTGGACTTTTTCATCACAAAAAGAAGCAGTTCTTGCATCAAATTATAACTGGAGATGAAAAATGGATCTAATATGATAATCTCAAGCGTCTAAAATCGTGGAAATGTAACATCCACGGAAGTAAGATTTTATTATGCGTTTGATGGGACATGAAAGGCATCGTCTATTTTATGAATTGCTACAACCGAATCAAACAGTCATTGCTGTGCGTTATCAACAACAATTAATCGATCTGAATCATGCTTTAAACCAAAAACGTCCAGTAATAGCTCAAAGAAAACGCAAAGTGATTTTATTGCACGACAATGTTCGACTGCATGTTGCAAAAACAGTTAAGGATACATTATCGGTACTTCAATGGAAGGTCCTACCACACGCCGCGTCATCCGGAACATCTAATACATACGATCGATTGTCTCTCTAATCGTTCATATCGCGACTAGGTATGAGCGCGCGGATTATGATGAACGTTGACCACCTGACCTGATCCGTCGTTTCGTCAATTCTCTGATTATTCATGTCTCGCCCAGATACAGCCGTTGATGATTGTTTGTTTGATTCATCATTTCGTCAACGACTCGACGTTTCATCGTATCGTATCATATCCGTGAATACAATGTGAGCAATCAGGAAGAACGAGCCCGGTGGATGTTGAGGCTTCGCCGAAGCTCGATGCATATTTTACGCATCACGACAGCTGACGGATGCGACGCTTATGCGCACGAAAGCCCCGCCCGGTATGCCCGTAGCTTCTTTTCGGCCTGGTACCGACCGGACATGATTTACGCGCATCTTCCCCCGCGCGATCGCATCCGCAGGAGTTCCCCGCGTCGCGCCTAGACGATAACGAGCTGACGTTACGCTTGCCGGCAGGATTATGCGAGCGGTCGCTGTCGATCCTTTGAGGCACGTATTTTTCAGAAAATCCGAATCACATAAAAATTTATATGGGAAGGGGAGGTTCTGGGGTCGTTGATGACGAGTCCATTATCAGATATTCGAAATTCAAGATGGCGGATCCAAGATGGAGGACGCAAAAATGAAAAATCGCGGTAATTTCGATGACAATGGTTATTGTGGGGTTTTTGGAGCCGCTGATGACGAATCCTTTATCAGATATTCGAAATTCAAGATGGCGGATCCAAGATGGCGGACGCAAAGATGAAAAATCGCTGTAATTTCGGTGACAATGGGTATTGTGGGGTTTTTGGAGTCGCTGATTACGAATCCGTTATCAGATTTTCAAAATTCAAGATGGTGGCCAAATATGAAAAATTAACTAACCGGAAGACAATGTCAGGCAAATATATTAGAATTCCATAATCCGCCAACTTGAATCTGCAATCTTGAATAATGAGTTTTGGACCTCGGATTCGTAATCGGCGACCTCGAAAACTAACCAGAGTACAATTTTAGCTAATTTAATAAAAATTCTATGATCCACTATCTTGGAGAATTAATTTTGGAATTTGGACCTCAAGATTCGTAATCAGTGACCCAAAAAACCCCCAAATCTTGACTTTGAGCAAAAAATGCACTCATAGTTCGTGGAAAATGATTTTTTCTGTAAAGATGTGTATTTTCCACACTTTGTTTATTTATAACAAATGGACAATTTATGCAAAACACTTTCCAACCTTTCATGTATGTTCCCATATC